GTATCAACCATATTAATATGTATTGCACCTTGGCCAAGCTTCTATAATGTCAGGCTTAGAAAATTCCATTCTAGTCTATCAAACGTCTTTTCCGCCTGTAATGATAGCGTTTACATCCCATGCTTTATGTATGATACTGTATGTATAGGTGGTGGACGTTATCTGCAGCAAAGCACCCTTTCATGAAACCTGATTGGTCTGGATTAATAAATATCCCCATTTTTTTCCCCCCAAACGTAAGGCCAAAATTCAGGAATTTGAATTTGAGATTAGGATAAATTTGGGCACTCAGAAAGGTCTTCTTTCCCGTTTTTTGGATTCAAAGCCATTAAAGCCCTCTTTAAATCTAAATGAGGTGCACCTTTATGAACCGCATTGATTGCGTGACACCCAATTGGCTCAAGTATATCCCAAATTACCCTTCAGTTTAGGGGTTTTACTCTTTTTGTCACCTAACAGTGCTGCTTTTGAGCTCCTGCATTAGGATTGGTTGGACTGTCTGCTGCCTCTTCCTCCAATGGTTTAGGAACATTTACATTTTCATCTAGGGTTTACAAATTTGAAACAATGTGTCACACGGTGGCACAGTGGTTAGCATTCCTGCCTTGTAGCTCTGGGGCCCTGGGTTCACTCCAAGACCTGGGGAGCTGTCTGTGTGGAGTTTGCATGTTCTTCCTAAGTTTGTGTGGGTTTCCTCCTGGTGCTCCTGTTTCCTTCCACAGTCAAAAAATACTGGTAGGATAACTTATTTCTGGGAAAATTGGCCCTGGTGTGAGTGTGTCTCTGTCTGCCCTGTGATGGACTGGTGTCCTGTCCGGGGTGTACCCTGCCCTGTGCCTCCTGCTTGCTGGGATAGACTCCAGCTCCCCCATGACCCTGAACTGGAGGAAGTGGTTGGAAAATGGGTGGGTGGGTGTGGAAAGTTGCGTGGATCAGTATTGTGACTGAACACTGACAGGAGAAAGAGTAACATCAGACATGTTTCATTTGTTGAAGCCAGAAGAATCATGTATTATATTTGAAAAGGAACAATTAATAGGCTTATTCCATGCTGAAAAAAAGAAGAAAGAGAACACAACGTTTCGGCCGTGGAGCCTTTGCAGCCTACGCATGCTGACGCAGCTACCCACCTGATGTATTATATTTGCCTTGTTTTGTTTTTTCCCAAAATATCTTCCAGTTCCATCATCTTTGTTAAGGAGTAGCTGTAAATCATTCCACAGATCGGAGTATTTTTTTTTACTTTACATGGAAAGTTCTTTCAACCCTTAATCTTCCAGGTACAGTCATTTCTGCATAAGCAAATATAAATGAATTCTGAAGTCATGTTAATGTAAAATGTCAGTGTCATGACCGAGCGCGTGTTTGGCTCAGGGGTTTGGTGATGTGGGGGTAGCAAACCAGCAGTCGAAACGGAGTTGCCACAGTGGAAAAATACTGAACCGGAGACGGGAGTCCCTTGGGTTTGAAAACCTGATCCCCATAACCGCGGAGAACGATGTAGCGTGTCCGTCCGACCACACCACGCTGAGTGCAGCACTCTGCGGCTTAGTTATTTGCTAGTGATTGCCTGTCTGCGCGCATGAATTGATGTTATTGTGTGGGCAAGACGGCATGCGTCCATGTGTGGTCTGCAGGCTTGCCGAATACCCAGGATCCATCCGACGTTTGACTGCGCTTTGCCGTTTCTACCTCATATGCCTCACACGTGCAAATTAAATGATGCAAATGAAAGCTTTTTCATTTGTAGGTCAGAAATCCTGTTTAATTTGTGAATACGCTGTATACATTTCTTCCAGTAAACTGCCATACTTTAAAATGTGGTTGGAATTGCTTTATGGGTTTGCATCTGGGAGAGATTACAGAGGAAATCCATGTATGTCAACAGTTGGGACAACTAAAAACAGCACATCCCAGCACCCCTCTGCAGGGTAGACCATGGTCCTGTTTCGTACGGGGCCTGGGACAGAACCATAGATACCGTTCTGTTTTTCTAGACTCCCTCACCCCCCACACACCCCTCCACAATTTTCAGTGCTCTTTTCCCCTTCTGAATTGTTGGCACCTCCTGGCCAGCAAAAGTGGCCCTCAGTGTGATTGGCAGATCAGGAGCTCCTCTGCGCTCAAGTTCTACAGTCTCCACCTGTTCTTTCAGTTTTGAACTAAGCTACCTAATAAAGACCTCCCCTTCCTTATTGAATTAATTTCATTGTTTGTGACTCTTATGATGAGACGCAGCCAAGTGGTCCTGTTAGTAGAGATCAAGTATAAGAAGGCATCGAGAAATGACCTGGGTCTTCCTCTTGGAGAGGAGCTTGACGTATTGATGTTGCCCTGTCTGAAACAAAGTAGAGCAAAAGTCCGTAACATACCTGGCCTGTCATGTGGTGAATCTTACCTGTTAGCAGGAGCAACCTCAGACTGTACCTCTATTAAATTTCTACTGTGCCGTACTGGATGCAGCGAGTGGCCGATTTCTTCTTGCAGTTCCAGACATATTGGGAGGAGGTAATGTTACAAGGCAGGCTTGCCAGGAGGAGTTTCCTGCCATTGCTAAGACAGGGATGTAGCTGCTCCCAACAAAGTGAATACGCTGTCAATCAAGACATTTGACGTTTGTATCTGAGAGAGAGTCCGTCTGTGGTACGTGATAAAACTGTGATGAATCAAAGAACAGTTTAAAGACCAGTACATCAAAACCCAGAACCCTGTCGAACAGCATCCTGGCACAAGTACTAATACTGTGAAGAGGAGGTTGGACTTGATCAGCAAGAACTAAAGAATTAGTCAGGGTGACTTGACAATACTGAGATGGACTGGCGCCCTGTTGCTTGTGGGGGAAAATGACATGACAATACAGCTGTCTGTTCAGTAAAATGTCTTGAAGTAAGGAAAACCCTGTAGATAACTTAACATCCTTTGAACACGGGGTCAAAACCTGGGAAATGGGATACATGACTTTGTCAGCCTGATCTGGCTCTTAATTCTGATATAATAATCCATGAGTACTGTATCATGTAAAAAGAGAGCCCAGTAACTTGGTATGAGCAGTATTTTCCTCCATGTGAAGGTATTGTTTTCACAATGAATATACACCAATGATTGAGGGGTTTAAACCACAGTAATATATCTTATACAAGACATTAGTATTTCCCACCCCTCACACACATTTTACCTCTGATCTGCCCCTGGCACTAACGGAAACAGTGCGAGCTAAAGAAATCTCAATACTGCAATGAATTTTAGCCTCCAAATATGAGCCTGTAACATCAGAAACAAAAGATTTACAGCGCAGGGATGCTGCTTCATTGAGGCGATAAATAATTGGATCTTTGGCCTTGAGAAGCTGTTTGGAAGATGGACAGGTCTGAGGGCTCCCAGTATTAACAGCAGTAGTGTGCGTGCAGAGGAGAAATAGTTCAAGCAGCCAGAGAAGCAGAGCAGATGGGAGGAGGGGTAAAGAGATGTAGGATTGTGGATATGAGAGGACAAAGCGATCAAGAGTGGCACTGACTCCGAATTCTCAGTTTACATCACTAGAGCTGCTCTTTTTCATTCGTTTTGTTTCCAAGTTTCACCTCGTAATAGCCGGATACTCACCCCGCTATCTAGGCCCCTAGCAACCTCCTGCCGCAGACCGGTGCGTTTTCCCAATTCTCTGTACAGACGGTCCCGGTACGTCCGGGTTAGGGCCCGGAAGGGCTTGACGAATAACGAAACCACATATAAAGGGGAAGAACAGTGGACATACGGAGGATTCAGGACTCCAAGAGCTCCAACTTAAAGCTGGGGGCTTTTACATAAGAGTTAATGGAATACAGTCGGGTTAGGGGACCGTGGTTTAGATAGTGTGTTTCACTTGTCGCTACTAAATACAGTACACAGTATCCTGTTATACAATAAGTGCAAGTTACCTTTCTAAATAATGCAAATTACTGTGAAATGACTTAGAGAGGGGACCTGTATAGTGTCCATAAGGAACCATAAGCTTTCATACGTTCCTAACCTACAGTGTTGGGACTGTATATACAATGAATGTGCCTATACAGTAGCCCATTAAAAACAATAAGTAGAAGTAGATACCATCACCAGTTCCTTCTGAGTTGTGGTCTTGTCGAAACCAATAGTCGTTTGCTGCTTCTGGGTAGATTACTTTTCCAGACACTGTTCATCTTTTTCAAGTGGGTGATCATACCCTGATCCATTGCTTGGATCGGTGAGGTAGTATATGGTAGTAAGATCTCCACTTTAATGTTGGAACATAACCGTTCATAGAGAGACAAGAACCAGTCGTAATGGTAGATTTTGTTCATCACAATATTTTTTTCATTTCTGGAACAAAGTATTGCAAGAACCAGTTGCTGGCTTTTGGTGCCTTTAAAAGTGACATAAACCACCTGGATCGGCCTCTTCCTGCTGCTGACCGTACTCATGCTCAAAATAAGATGTGCATTTACAGAGCATTCGGTGAACCATTCTCTGAGAGTTTGTATTAAACTGTGGAGATTTTGAAAGTCCATCACCTTGCCTTTATCAATAGCATGTTTTGAATGCTAGACTCAAGTCTTGTAGTCTGTTCAGGACTGAAACGATTAATTTCCTAAGATATAACGCCATATTTGTCTGTTTAACTTGACTACAAACACTAATAGCACTCAAACTAGACAGGCTGAATGATTTGTAAAATATAATGTTCTTATATTGCTTTACCGCGTTAACTAGGGGAAGATTCTGACCTGGAAATAGTCCTAGCTCAGTGTCTCCAATCTGTCATTTGCGGTATGCGTTTCTGCTGCCTGTGTACTGCGCTCCTGCCTACAGAACTCTCACCTGCCGGAGGCCGCCCTCTCTTGACTTTTCCCCGAGTCTTTTTGAATTTCCGAGGCTGCTTGTGGTCAGTGCAGAGGGGCTCCTCCCAGATCTCGCCCCGCCGGCCGTGAGAGAGAAGCGCTTTGCCTCGCTCCAGGAGGGCTCCTCTCCTTCTTGCTCTCCCCCCCCAGTTCTGCCCGACGAAGGCCGAGGCCCGCCGCAGCGCCGCCAAGATCGCCCTGATGAACTCGGTGTTCAACGAGCACCCCTCCAGGCGGATCACGGACGAGTTCATCGAGAAGAGTGTGTGCGAGGCCCTGGCCTCCTTTAACGTGAGTGTCTGCTGCGTCGTGCGATTGAAGGCCAAGCGCTGGGGCCCTTTGCGTTCTGGCGGCTGGAGCTTTTTAGACCTTTCGTGAAATTTCTACATTGCACTCTCTCTCTTTCCTAGCGTTAATCCCGCATCAGACGGGTCCGCTTGAATTGGCTACATTACAAAGTGGGGATTATTAGGAGGCCATGATTGGTAAGGGCCAATGGGAAATTTGGCCAGGACGCCGGGGTTACACCCCTACTCTTTTCGAGAAACGCCCTGGGATTTTTAATGACCACAGAGAGTCAGGACCTCGGTTTTACGTCACATCCGAAGGACGGCGCTTATTTACAGTATAGTGTCCCCGTCACTATACTGGGGCATGAGGACCCACATGGACCGCAGGGTGAGCGCCCCCTGCTGGCCCCACTAACACCTCTTCCAGCAGCAACCTTAGTTTTTCCCAGGAGGTCTCCCATCCAGGTACTGGCCAGGCTCACACCTGCTGAGCTTCAGTGGGCTGCCAGTTGTGAGTTGCAGAGTGATATAGCGGCTGTCCAAATTTCTACCTTACACTGAAACACTGAAAAGGGTTATTATTAAATATTGGTTATTAAAATGTTGCTAGTACAGCTGGGTTTTAACAGCAGTCCTAGAGGGAACCCTGCTTGTGTCTCCAGGAATCTACAACGAGATTGAATGTTTCATCTTCAGTAGAACAACTGAAAGTCCAAACCACACTGGCATAGTTTTACAAGGTGGGAACAAATGTCCTTGAGTAGCCCAAAGTCCTGACTTGAATCCAATTTTATTGTATGGTGTGATTTTAAACCATTTCCAATCCTCAAGCAGAAAATACTGCAAGCTTCTTCATCTAGGGTATACAAATGTGAGACAAAAGAGTGAAAGGCTGGTGTCACACAGTGGTTAGCACTGCTGCCTGAGCTTGTAGCTCTGGGGCCCTGGGTTCACTACCAGACCTGGGGAGCTGTCTGTGTGGAGTTTGCATGTTCTCCCCACGTTCGCCTGCGCGTCCTCCCGTTTCCTTCCACAGTCAAAAAAATACTGGTTGTCAAGCAGAAGGGGAGAAGTGTTGCCAGGCAGAAGGTGGCAGATTTGCCCCATGCCGCCATGCAGAGGGGCAGAGATTCATCTGAGAGCACTGTCAGTGATAATTCTTGCCAGAGGTGCTTCCACAGAGTACACACGCAGTGGGTCTGAATAGTCTGGAAATTTCAGTTTGTATATATTTTCAAGGCGTTGTTATATGTAAGAGGCAGAATATCAGCAGTGTTCAGTTTCCAAGTATTTTCAGTGAAAGAAATGTATACACATCATTTGCAATGTGTTAAAGTGTGGCATGTTTGATTGGGTAAAAACCTGAATAAGGCACCATACGTAGGAACTGTGGTCTTGAGTAGTATTCACACTGTTGCCACAGCATCTTTCTACCTCTTTCTCTTCTGATGTCACTTCAAAACACATAAGACTACTGCAGAGTCTGCCTTCTCAGGTTTCAGACACTTTTCACAGATGAACATCAGAGATCATGACAAATCGGGCTTATTTGTACTTTTACCAGGATCCTCGTACGAATACAGAAATTGAAAGGTTACTGCCGCTATTTAAAATTTTTGTCAAGGTCAAAGGAGCCTTTCAGGGAGGTCAGTTGAATACCACAATGTCAGGGATTGTAGAGTTAAGGGTGTACCACTTTTTTTTTTCTGGCACAGTGTCTCATGATGGTTTCTTCCCAAACTTTTCAGGGTAACAGGGAGGAGGCGGACAACCCCAGCACTGGCATCGGAGCCTTCCGGTTCATGTTGGAGTCGAACAAGGGAAAGTCCATGCTGGAGTTCCAGGTAATCCCAGATCAGTGGCAAAAAATTAAACATTTTTCCCATCTGAATTTTGATCTGAATATGTTCAGCACCTTCAGCCCAATGAGCACCTAAAGACTGAACAGAAGGGCTGATCGCAGCAACTTAACTGCTTGTACAGGTTTTGAATGATCTGTTTATGAAGCTGAAGCTTTATGAATGATGTTTGTAAAGGAAAGATGCAGTAGAATGGAAAGATGGGGAAAATGGAAGGCTTAGGAAAGCAAAAGAGAAAAGATCTGGTTTGTGGCTAGGGCATTATTGTGTGTGTGTGTGTGTTTATTTTGTGTTCTTGATCCAGCAGCAGAAGCTTATATCCAGCGTATCGGCAGAGCTTTGCCAAACCGCTGTGGGTGGGTTTGAAGCACAGGGGCCCGCTGGCGTTGCCAAGAATGCCCTGGCTGCAGCTGGCGGGGGGCTCGCCGTGGAGGCGAGGGGCTCTGTGTTTCAGCCCTGTGTTTGTCTGCCCTGCAGGAGCTCATGACGGTGTTCCAGCTGCTGCACTGGAACGGCAGCCTGAAGGCCATGAGGGAGAGGCAGTGCTCCCGGCAGGTGAGAGCAATTCCAGACGATGGCTGTGCCACTGGCCCCGAGTGGCCCCGAGTGGCCCCGAGTACAGTATTCTCGCCCTGTCGTGAGACTCGTATTGTGCTTGGCATTGGTCCTTCCGTTTTTACACTCGGTAGACATCATGCAGCGCTGGGCTTTTTCACCCTAACTACCAGTGAGCTCCCTGACAGACAGACCGGAAGTGACCCCCCGACCCCCAGGCTGACTCATCGAGCACGGCCTCGGCTGAACATTTGCTTCAGAACCGAGACCACAAAGCCTACTTTTCCGCAAAAGAAGTACAGGACAGAATAACAAAACCTTTGAATTTGGTATTACGGATTTCTTTTTTTTCCAAAACCTTGCTCCTAGAGCAGCCATTTCATTTAAATTCACAGGGCGCACATCTACCTTAGGCGTGTTTATTAAAATACTGCATGTCAGCATGTGTCAGCATTTTTAAGAACTCGCAGCAAAGTTATCATTTTTAATTTTCATTTCTATTAAAAGCAGCTGAAGGGACATCAAAAAGAGGATTTAGGCAGAAAGTTGTAGTTAAGGTTGAAAACGGGATTGTGAGTTTCTCGGAGCAAATGACCCAGAAATGTCTTTGAACTTGACTCTCGGGGGTCCGCTCGGGGCTGGGTGAGATCCTGACGTCACTTCTCTTTTTATCGCAGTAATAATAATGAATCGCTCATCAGCTTTCGTGTGTGCCATTAGCATAATCATCATTATTTCTGCATTTGGCCAGTGTCTTTGCTTTAATTGGACTGTGTAATTTATTTGGCTTAATTTCTGTTGTGTTTTTTTCAGCAAAATCTAAAGGAACTACTTTTGTAATGAAGCTCCTTAGGGTGTTAAATATTCCCTTTTATATCGTGCTCACTGCCCCAGCAAGCAGCTTTCATCTACAGAGGTACTGTAGCTCGGGGCTTGTGAGGGAAGGTTGCTCTTCAGCCTGCAAATACCAGCGGGGCAATCTGTGAAATCTCAGGGGTACTCATTTAACAGAGAGTGGCTGAATAATGAAGCAGGAAAAGCTGAGGGCCCTTTTCAATTGCTTGAATTTTTCTCAGTCCTTTTTGTCTTTTTTTTTCAGCCCAACATTCAACTGAAAGCAAAATCAAACTAATCTGCAGGAGTAAATAAGTAACAGGCAAAAGCTGATAAAGGTATCAAATGAGGAGAGCATTTTTTTTTGCTTACTTTCAGTTCAGTTTATTGGTTATACTGTATGCACAAGTGCAATGAAATTCTTATTTACGTGTACTGTATGCTCCGATACAAAGACATCAAGGAAACAGCCACCTTAAACACAGAACAGCAACAACAACAGTTAAATAACATAAACATCAGTGCAAGCAGTGTGTGAAAAAAACTTCAGTGTGAGCCAGTGTTAAGGGTTGAGCTCAGTAATCTGACACCTTGCGGGAAGAAACTGTCTCTGAATCTGCAAGTTTGTGCCTCCATGCTCCTATAACGCTACCAGAGGGCAGGGAAGAGAGAAGTGAGACACCAGGATGAATGGTGTCCTTAGCAATGCTCCCAGCCTTCCTGAGACGGCTGTAAAAATGTCCACAATAGAGGGGAGCTGTACTCCAGTGATGGACTGGGTGACCTGATCACCCCCTGTAACACCTTTCTGGGTAGCATGAATGGGTACCATTCATATCATTACCAGTCCAGTACACCTGGAACATACTGTACCATTACCACGCAAGTGCACCTGGAACATACCATTACTACTCAAGTGCACCTGGGTCATACAGTACCATTACTACATGACCCAGTTGTACTCCTTGACTCAGACATCGAGCTGCTGCCAAACCACACTATAATACCACTCATGATCACGCTTTCCTAACCCTACCTTTGTGCTTCAGTTAAACTTTGTCAGCAGGAATGATGATTTTGATACATTTCCTAATAGAAAAATACAATATGCTTATTTTGAATACAGCTTCATTTCATTTTGAACCTTGTGGAAAAGCTACTGTAAAACTCCATTTCTGCCCTTTACATTTATCATGCTTAGTCTTGTATTTACATAGTTAAAAACAGCTCATCTTTTAAAATGAGATAGTTCTTCTCTGACGAAGATGAAAAGTTTAAATTTTTAGGTTCTAACTGGTAATAGATAGATGGGTCAGGAGTTAATATTTTCTAAGAGCCAGATGTAAAAAAACTTCATAATCCAGGTTGCCTAAAATAGACGAGATGAACAAGTCCACCTATGAGCCAGATTCTTCTCAGCTGGGGCAGTCTGTGATGGGGAGTGGTGGTGCTGCCCTCTGGTAAACCAGGGTCCTGACCAGCTCGTTAGAGATTCACAAAAGAGCAGGGGTGTCACCGATGTCCTGGTGAATCCTACTCTGGCAGTACCCCCGAGACCCCCTCGATTCAACCAGCAAACCAGCTGCTCCCTTCTCCTCCACTCTCGAGGCGCCGCAGTGTGGATGAAGCGACGCCCCTCCTGTCTGTCTCCGAACCCCTTGGAGATGAACAGCGTTGTGTAAATTCAGGGGATTATCATCGCCCTCACCACAGCCGTTCGAATGGCCTTCCTTCTGGGTGTTTCCCTCCATTATGATGTTGTTCTGGGGCACGTGGGGCTCGTTGCAGCCGGGAGGTGACGGTTGGGGTTTCACGTCCCGAGCCCAGGGGCACCCTGGGCAGGGGCGCGGAGGCTGACGGGTCCCCGGCCTTGTCTCCCCCAGGAGGTGCTGGCCCACTACTCCCACCGGGCGCTGGACGACGACATGCGCACGCAGATGGCCGCCGACTGGGTGAACCGAGAGCAGGGCGTCCCCGGCACCATCTCGCGCGAGCTGGGGGCGGCCGAGAGGGAGCTGGAGGAGGCGCGGCTGGCGGGCCGGGAGCTGCGCTTCCACAAGGAGAAGAAGGACATTCTCATGCTGGCGGTCGGGCAGCTGGGCAGCGCCAACGCAGCCACCCTGCCCTCCAGCTGCTAGAAGGAGACGGGAGCAGGCCCTGGGCCGCCCTGCCGCACACACTCCGCTGAAAGGTCTTCCACCGCCTGATACCGACCCCAGCATCTCCACCCCCCTCCTCACCCCATCGTCGCCAGCCTGCACACAGGCCACCCTGCGCTGCCTTTAGAAAGTGCTTCAGGTTCAAATTAGAGCTGCTTCTAAGTTCTTAAAGCCATGAAGGTTTGTTTGCTGGCTGTAAATTAATCTGTGCTTCGGTTTCAATACGTTTCACTCACCCAGTGTGCTTGCAGTATCTTAAGAGGTCACCACAAAGCTGGCCTTCACCCCTGGGTGTGCGTGAGAGGCAGGCTGGACTGGCCTCCTGTGAGCCGCCGCTAGCCCTTCAGGACCACGTTCCCTGCGGCGCCATCTACTGGCAGCAGCTGCACGATTTTCAGGTCTTTAAAATGATGAGATCTGAACCAAGTTTCTTTTTTTCCTTGGGCTGTTCTGATGAAAATCATTTTTTTCAAAGAAAATATTGCCCATTAGAAAAATAATTCTGAATGATCTTCTTGATTTTTATAAACACTTAAAATCTCCAAGTGAAAGTCCTCTACTTTTTATCCTTATTTTCTATCCTTGAGCCGGGGTTTTTAGTAAGAGTTGTTCAGAAATCTTGAGATGTTTTTTCACAGTCTATTTGCAGGTCATTTTTGCCTAAAATATGCTGAGGTATGGAATTTTTGCTGTTTTCTCAGAAGCCACTGCAAATTGTAAAAACAAATATTTAGATGAAGTGTTCTCGTCTGTTTTGGCGTTTCTTCGTTATATTTAAAGGAACATTTTAAGTAAGTTAAATGGCAACGGCAATTATTTCGTTTCATTTGAATTTATTTTGTCAGAGTTTTGTCTTTGCTTGTGTTCTGAGAGGTAAAAGTATTAACCTTTGTAAAACAGTGACAAACTTTTGCGTTGCTTAAAATAACTATGTTTATTTTACGTGGACAGTAATCTCATGTAACACATTTACTGCTTTGAAAGTAGTCATTTATAAGCATACGACTATTAATTAGCCATGAACGTTTCACAATGCAAGAATGCTCATATATCCAGCTTCTGTTTGCGAATGGCTCACTGAGTGAATCTTATCATGCATCATGAGAATCACTCAACTATATTTAATTTGATTCTCATTAAAATGAATGCCCCTTTCATATATATTTTAAGAAAAAAATACTTCCCCCTCATTTAAATTATGTAATTCATTAAATTGAGTTTAAAAAAAAAGAGTGAAAATCTTAAAAAGTTACTCCCGAAAGTTTATTTAGTTTATGCTGTTACAGGGCTAATTTAAATACTTAAAATAACCTTGTTTTCACTTCTGTGGTGGGATAGTTGAATAGGCCAGTGGTTTTCAACCTGTAGTTTAGAACTGAACTGTGACATACTAACTGCATTTGTATAGGTGGCAATTTGCAACAATCCCTCTACTTCTGGTGATCAGATAGTCCAAAGTGTTAAATAGTCAGGACAGGTATTTCCTAATGGGCTCCTCTTTGCCATGTTCTACTGAATAAGTACCTATACCCATGTTGTGTTGATGTGCTAAACCCACGTATGGACAAACTACATTTCAATAGCTTTCATAGCTGGTCATAAATCACCAGTTTCCAAGGCTTTTAGAGCACATGCATGTTCTCTGTTAATTTTTGAAGCAGATATTATTATTCAAAGGAAAAACCGGGCCTCATACATATTAGGCTTGGGGTGAAATTATCTCTCAGTCTGCCCCATTTCACACTTAACGTAAAAGTGACTAAAAACTCTTTAAAAAAAGAGCAGAGCTCCGGCAAACATGGTAGGAATGTGTTGTTGGAGAAAACAGCTGGAGCCTTTTCTGGGCCATTTTGGAATGCACTATCTGAGGAGGTGACCTAAACCGTGTGGAAGGCAACATTTTTGAGGCTGAAGCAGTCCCAGGGGCCTCAGCGCATTTCTCAAGAATAGACGAGGACAGGCAAGCAATAGAAAAGCCAGGTGCGTCCTTATTCTCATTTTGTCAAGTTGAATCGGTTTCAGCCCATGAGGAGAAGGGCTGGTCTCCCACTTCGTTAGTGCTTCCCTTGTGCAGAGAGGCCTCAGTGTCTCTGTCCTGGGCCCAGCACACAGAATAGGGATGGGGAATGGATTATATATCTATATCTTCCTTTGACACAGGTCTTTTTAAAACATTTGAGGACACTTATGCCTGTTTATACTTCCATGGGCCCTAGTTAGCACACTGCTGGCACAATACTACAGAACCTAGGAGATACCTGTACAGAAAGCCTTTAAACTACACTCCTTCAACTTCAACTTCCCATTCTTCGTCTCCTGCTCGTGTTTAATTAAGTGATCAGCCTGCAACACAGGAGAACATTTATTAATGGTTTGATGCAGAGACTTAACATTTGATGATAATGTTTTGTTTAGTGTCCTTAGGAATGCATCGATCTCGCACAGTCGATCAGAATTCACTTTGGTTTCGGTTGTCGACATCCGTTTCCTCTCAGAGTCAGCTGTCCCACCACTTGGCTTGGACAGTCCGACAGCTTAGTTCTGGCCACAACGTCTTCTCTCACTGTATTCCATGAGGTCCGACAGGGACAAAGTGGGATAAAAATTAACAAAAAAAACCTGCCGCAGCCTGTCTGCTGCTACCGCAGATGTTCAGTGGGCCACGCAGGTGAATTAGATGAATGTCGTGATCCTAGGTTCACTGCCTGTCACTGCTGATCCCAGGTTTTCCTGGAGTCGTCTACTGTTTGCCAAAGCAGTCAAATGTCTGTCACAGACAAGCTGCCTCAAATCATGTCAGTAGCAACCAGGTTGAAAGCCCGTATCATCATCTTAATTATGCAGCTTGAACAAGGTTGTCTTTTGCTAACTCAAATTGTTGTGAAAGGCTACTGACACAGATCCTTTACTTGTTTGGGCAATTTTAACTGAAGTGGCCGACCACACATTGAGTGCCTGGCGGTTTTATGATGCGAATCCGTGATTTTGTCATCCCAAGTTGTCCAAAAAATCAACAATCCCTTCTGCTCACTAGGTGAGAGATAAATTCTAGAAGTTCCTAGTAAGCCACGGATGAAAAACATGGCAGTCAATACGCGTTCTTCAGCGTGCATGGGGCGTTAAGCTTTGACTGCCTTTGCAGTGGTCTAGTTAATAGATCCAGTGTATAACATGACATCGCCACACCTCATTTGACATAAGCAAGTCCTTTTAAATGTGAAGAAACTGACATTAGGTACGTACGATACAGTACTATATAGTCCCACAGTTTTGTAGCATTTTGTGGAAGTTGGCAGTCAAATTGAGAGCGCAGAGACATGTAATATTTGTGGAGAGTGTGGTATACTCTATCTGAACAGCATGGTATATCAAATTTTTTATTTTACTAAACAGGACATATAGCAGTCGCACGCAGAGCTGCCGAAACCATTGTTCCTCATGCTGTTTGTACAGAAGCCATATTGACCAGGGTCTGGGAGGAATTACCTTAGATTTCATTCTTAATTTGTGCATTTCAGTTATTAGAATTATTACAGTTTTCTTAACGCAACAGTGCTAAATACTTTGTATAGCTCTTTGTAAAGCAGTTGATCATTGCAGTGTTTTGTTTCAGACATCCCAGTCTACTTGTGTAATCTCAGGGCTTCTTCTGTCAAACAAACAAAATAAATAGTCAAAAGTTCATCGCACAGCTGTGCTCCAGACCAGGTCAAGTTTTTAAGTATTACTGTTCGATTTTTCTTGTCCATTGCAATGGAGAAGGGACCATGGTCTGGTGTCTCTACAGCACAGCATCAGAAAAACACAGCTCCCTGTGTTACCTTTGCAGGGTATGAGTGTTGGACCGCCACCCTCTGGTCCTTGATTTTCCCTTGAGGTGTTCACACTAACCAACCCGTCTCGCCTGCCTCCCAGGACCTGATGACATCAGGTTCCAAGACGGCTGCCTTTCCTACCTGAGCTCTGAGCCTGCCTCAGTGTGTTTCTCTGAGGCTCTATAGCCAAGACTTGGTCTGTTTTCAGTGGTACACAACTGTAGAACCCCATCTGTTTCATCACGTGTAAAAAAGCAGGCTTATGCCTGCCCTGCCATTTGTCATAGAATCATCCCATGGTGTTTTGATGGCGTTGTGCATTTTTCTGATCCTAGGTTTGTGGGACGTGCGTTCTTAGATTTCCTTATGGTTGACCTGCTTGGCCAGAACATACTTCTCTGTAAGAGTTGTGTTCAGTGCACTCATATGACCTCAGAACTTCATGCAGGGCAGCTTTGAACATCACGAAGCTGTCGTTGATAGTCGTTCATGGGGCGTCTGAAGTTTTCCAAAACCTTCTAACTCTTTATTTGTGGGTTTTAAAAATACAAGTGTGGGTTTTACCATAGGGGGGGTTCATAATGCAAGTGGATCACCTGAGATGTCTGGTAAGAGAGATATCACAAAAAATACACATCCAGACCTCTAATTCAGTCACCCTTTTGAGAATATCTTTTAGGGAAGAACATATTTAAGATATTATATTCAGATATTTTCAACTATTTCAGTCTTTTTGAATCCCCTCCAGAAAATGTTCTTATATGACTCTTGTAGTTAATAAATCACAAACATAAGGGTGCTTGTTTAAAGTGTTGTAAATATATTGCTTTGAAAAAACTTCTCTTTTTTTGCAGTTTCATGACCTTCAATATGTTCTTATAAATATACCTTATAAACATTTACAAGTGCTAAACTGTTTCATAGTAGAATGTAGCCAGTAGATCTCAATCAAGGTAAATGTGTAGTACAGCAAAAATGAAGTGTGAAACATTTAATTTAGAAACTTAAAGGGTAAAAAAACTTTGAGTGATGGAATCATACACTTTGGGAACCGGGATGTGTACAGGGGAAGTAAAATGAGGTGGCACGTTTGGAGAAATATATAAATACAAATTCTGCTCTTCTGATCTCGGCTCTCGCCTTTCCCCCACCTGTAAGATAAGGAAGGCCTCCATTTTATTGTAATAACATCGATTGTAACAGCTTTGTTATTAATATACCGTAGTTTGCATAAGAAACCAGTCTTGTCATGTACTGTAGAAATGTGACATTCACGCTGATCAGGATCTTCCAAAAGGTGAGCACGGCAGCCCAAGGTAAATTATACAAAGGTAGCCAATCTGAAGTGGTCTAGTAGCTACAGTAATGAGACTCATTTGCTGATTGGCTCATTGTAAAGTGTTACTCATCACTGGCATCATTTGTTACTCTCTACACATCCGTAAATCATTAAAAGCTCAAAGGCTGCTTTCTACAAAATATAGCTCTGTCAGTATTGGATGTAAAACAAAATGGCTCAGATGGCGATAGAACTGGTTCTGCATGCAACGTTGCAAAATTCGGTAGACCTCTGCACAACAGTGTAATTTTTGGAAGTGTTCAAATTATTTCATAAAATACTTCATAGTATTTGGAAAATGTTAGAATATAGTAGCACAATAGTGAACAGGGTTTAAAAGTTTGTCATTATTTGTACATAGCGTTCTTTTAGTCCTCTCTTGGGTAAAAAAACAAACATCTTATCTTCATCACTCTGCTCTCCTCCCCACTGAGAGCTGGTGTGTGGGGAGCGGACTGGCGCATCATCCAGGTGGGGCTGCACACTGGTGCTGGTGGAGGGGATCCCCATGACCTGTAAAGTGCTTTGAATGGTGTCCAGAGCACTATATAGAGGAAGTGTAAGGAATTAGTATTAACAGTGGCATCCATGTTGTATAAAAACCTTACCAACAATGTCTAGAATTCCGAACCTTTTTCTAGTTCATTTAGTATGTCCTTTTAGTTTTATATACAGTGTTTTGATATATATTTTATATGAACGATTTTTGATATATTGCTTTTTACCATGGAAGTACTTTTCTATATAGATTTTTAATGCAATAAAACAGCAAACAAAACTAGTGTTGGCATTTTTTCCCATCTGTGGTGCTTTTCCATCTGAGGTCTTTCCTTTTCACCTACTGCTGCTACAACCCACAAAATAAACCATCCTTCCAATACAGAACAGTGACTGGCAAAAGTATGCAGACCCTTGCACATTTCACATATGATTGCTTTAAAACATGCTTTCATGACACTTTGAAATAGCAATTATTGTTATATACTGTACATAAAATATCCCACACATTCAAAGCCAAATACAAAATGAAGGAAGTAAATATATACAGTAATTGATTAAGAAAGCAAAGTAGAAGAGTCATGACTGCAAGATTATTCAAACCCTGTGCTGTGGCGATCTTAAATCCATTTATGTGCACAAAATTACCTTAACGATCCACAGACTAATTTGAGTGAGATCTGTCTGTGTGCAGTGATGGGGGTTCACATGATTTCTGAATAAATTCATCTATGTCTGTAAAGTTCTTTTAGTCAACTACTGAATTTCGAGCAAACATTCAACTACTGTATGAAGACAAAGGGGCTTTCAAAACAACTTAAGGAGAAAGTTGTGTAAAGGATCCGAGAAGAATCTAAGACATTTCCTTTAACATCTCTTTGAGTACGGGGAGTGTGATCATTGAGAAGTGGAAGGCACCCAGGCCCTGCCTGGATCAGGCTATCTGATCCTCTATCTGAACCGCCAGACGAGGGGAAACAGGTCAGGGACACAGCTGTGAGACCAGCGGTAACTTTGGAAGAGCCAGAGAGTTCAGCGACTGAAATCGGAGAAAACGGGAAAGTCAGCAATGTCCCTGTTTCTCCACAATGCTGGCCTCTCTGGAAGATGGGGGATATGCATCTATAATCCCACATGGAGTTTACAACAAGGATATAAGTGATACTGTGAACATGTGGAAAAAGGTTTTGTGGTCTGGCAAAAGAAATGGGGAACATTTTGGTCTAAATGCAAAGCATTACACAAACCCAATGTAGTGCATCTGTCGCAGAGAGACAAGAAGTGGGAGTAGAGCAGTAACTCAGGGGATATACTGTATAGACTTGGAGTAGAAATATAATGGCCAGTTTTTGTCTGCTGTTGTGGGTTTCATTTTTCTTTGTCTGCTTCCCTTATCTTTTAAAGTGCCAATCAACAAAGGAGAGGAACCACACACTGTTTGCCTAGACACCCGCTTACCACCCCAAAGTAAATGGTGACTGAAATGTGTATAACCACATCTTGGATATAAAGGGACATACCTGTACAGGAAGCTCTGGTATAAAGGGGGTTGGGACAATGCACTGTTATACCTGATCAACTGCAAAGAGTCCTGCTCGTTAATTAGCTCTCACTCATTAGTCCTGCCTACCCCCCTCCACACACCCCCTGATCACCTGCCCCTCATGTCAGTACTAGAGCTCTGGCCAGGAAGGGCACCCTAAGACTCAGAAGCCTCAGCCAGGAGGATGTGGGCACAGATTTTGCACCACTGGACACAGGAGAGGACACCGAGACCAGAGGGGGGACGCAGCAGAGGACAGGTCCCACACTGGCTTCTCCCCCTTCTTCTCCCTGTAATGGGACGTGTTGTCTGGGATTGGCGGATCTGCAGAAATATGCAGAGTTGCAGCTCTTCCTCTGGTGTGGAGGAAGGAGGCTCTCCCGAGTACTGGATGGAGCATGTTGGGGAGAGTAGTGCAGTGGTGCTTCATCTGGGACTTTTGATTTGGGTTCTAAGGACTGTGGTATTCTTATCTTGTTCTTGTGTGTGTCCACTATCATTTTGTGGGCCCTATTTTTAATGTAGTGATATATTGAGTGACCAAAAAAAATAAGAAAGCTCATGTCAGTCAAAATCCTGACTTGAATCCTCTTCTTGAAGACTGGACAATCTATGCCTGTAAGTGCAACTTGGTAGAGCAAATTCATGCAAATTCAACAAGAAGAATGAGCACAAATTATACCAAGCCAGTGTAAAAAGACAGTGTTTTTAGAGACTTACCCCAAAAAAGAACTGTGGCCTGAATTCACATACTGTATCTTATCCTTAGAAGTCTTCAGTTTGAGCATTCATGTTTTGAATAGAATATGAAGTTAAAAAACCGTGTAGCATCATTTTGTAATGCCACGATATGGGACCCCCATAAGAAGGATCTGAAATCTTGGCCCTGTGACTGATTTGCATGTTTGATGTCTAAGGAAATGGAAAGCTGATTGAAAATGTGTGAGCATTTATGATCTCTTGTAGTCAAGAGTTCAAGGAACGGAGAGAAAAATAACCAAACAGTAAACCAACCTGTTTGCCTGAAGCCAGATTTAGCCAGAAGATTTAGTGCTGGTGTGATTCTGGGATTTAATCAGTTCTTTACACTAAGAGGCTCAAACCACAAAATTATAAAAGCTGATTCACTGGAATGGAATTGTTATGTGCTCATCTGGTCCAATACCTTTGACCTGTTCTTTTCTTGGGAAGGTGTACAAACTCAGGTGTTTGAATTTCCAACCCTCAGTAATTTTCTTCTTGGTTGTTCTTCATCGGTTTAGTCAGATGATTAATTTAGGAACAATATCTCATCTGAGACAAACACATGGGCTTGTTTCCACAGACCAACTGATGGCTCCAGAGAAGTAACAGATTTGCTACCCTGTTCTGCACTCTTGAAGAGGCAAACTCGCAGCTTCGTTGAACGTCCCTTCACAATTACTTTTCAAAAGGAGCTGCTCAGGGGGAAATCTAATGGCTTCAGAATGGAAATGCTTTATCTACATTCTATGGGTTGAAACCACAACTGAGAAGCTAATGAAAGCCAACTAGCAGGGGTTGCTGGGTGGAAGAAAAAAAGATTCATATTCGGTTAATTGCCAAAATCCAGAAGAACTGCATTTTGGGTCCATGGCTTTTGGTGTGTGGTCATGGATGAAAGGAAAGACAAAATGGGACCAAATGTGATTCTGAAAAATGAGGGATTAGTGAGTTTTAAGATCTTTAGCCAGACCCAAAAAGGAGAAGCCTGTAACATGTTCGTCTGACATCATATCTACTTGGTTTATTTTTTGCCTGGATTGCAATTTTACTTGCTTCTTAAATACTAGAGATATTCTTAAAAGAGTGACAGTACTTGATACAAACAGAGGTATTACATCCCCTAACAATGAACTGGAAACAGAAAGTTAGATAATTTCCTCATTAATTGGAGTGTTGAATTAAATGTTTACATTACACACACAGGTCTACTAATATTTTTAACACTTAAAGGATTTAATAGTCAAATACAAAATTCATGACAATCCCTATTAACTTTTCTTTCAGAGAGGGTACACAATTTTCTTTATGATCTGATTTACTGTAAATAATTAAAATAGTCATTCAAATCAACAGGAAGGACAGTTTATGGAAATGCCTAAAGATCTCATTCAGTTTACAATCAATTAGGCGTTAATGTATTTAGACAGAAAATCCAAAATGCTTCCCCTTCTAAACGAGCAGTATTGGCAGGAAATTTCTCAGCCTGATCAAGATCGACGAATCGCCTGACGTGTGGGGGAACTGCACTGCTCGAGTGGCTGGTGTGTACAGGTCATCAGGTGACGCCCACCGGACACCTGAGTTAGTGGCCGCAACCTTGGTTTCAGTGCAGTGCAGACTCATCACCTGGCCGGCAAGTGCACACCTTTTTCTGAGGTTACAGTGATTTAGATTCTGTTAGGAGGGCGTTATTAGCTCTCTGATTAACGCTGTGGTGCTCAATATCTAAATAGGTGGGGAAGAGATCTCCTCTGATTCGTCTGCATCAGAGGGTGGATCAATTTTGCCATGCCTGTACAGCCTGTGCTGCAGAAGGTTAGAGGGGTAGTCTGTCTGCTTTTAATTCAGCCCTTCTGGGTAATATTCCCATCCTGGGTTCTCAAGAAGATCTACAGTATGTGTCTGTCATAGGTCCTCTCTTTGATAACTAGAGATAACTAGGACTGTCTGCGTTACTGTTAATGTTACATTACTTCAGTGCAGTGGGCATATGTGTTGTGTTGTGTTCCTGTGCTGTACGGGAGGAAGGCTTAGCTGCTCACCACAGAGCTAGGTTACCGGTGTGGGTGTGGGCTTGTTCTGCCTTTTTAAATTGTCTGAAAGGGGATTGCTTTGGCTTCTGCTGGCAGCCCAAGGGAGGGGCCTTTTGAGAACCCTAATCAATTGTTTCTATTTCTGTTCTGATTGTCTCACAAGTGTTAGACTGTGTACAAGACCAGAACATTCTCTCTTATGGTATGGCATGCCTTTCAACGAGTCTCCAGCTTATTTTAAATACTCAAATTCTAATGTAATTTTCTTGCCTGTGAAGGGTTTAAATTCTTGATCCGTACAGCTTGTTCAGCAAAACATTAAATGTATTTACTGTTGATAAGAGCGAGGGCCTGCACACACAAAGAAGGCTTGTTTTAAGAATCCCAAAGAATTGTTTTTGTGTAGAAGGCCAATTGTAACTACCTGCTTTTAGAAAACACTGATATAGCTCAGTTACGTAGACATCTTATGATTAAAGTAGAATTTTGCTTAACCAATAGAAATTAAGACTGAAGTTTTTTTTTTTCTTGTTGAGACTTAAGCTCTTTGTCTTCCTTATCAAGTAAGTGTACAAAAGGTCAGCTGTACCTTTTCTTGTTAAACTCATCCTCCTACTGTAATTGCAGGGACGGTGCGTCTCTTCAGCTGGATACACAGTAAACTCCTCTTCTGCTTGAGGAAAAGGTTTCCAGTGGATTTGTACTCTACACCTGGAATTAACATGGTTTGAACAGTCCTTATAAACGTTAGTGGTCACAATATTTGTCGTGCAGAAATGAAACAGATATTGCCATGATACATTAATTCCACCTGAGGCATTAGATTTAGCTAATTCATAAAAATTGTTAATAATAAACCATGAGATTCACAAATTCTGTTATGTTGTGTAGTGTCAAAAAAATGACAAAGTTCAGGTGCCTGTGAAGCAGAAGTCTCTTTATTCATATGCATTTGGAAGTCTGGCTTGCAACCACCAGACTTAAAAAATAAGTAGCTGAAGATGGTCCTTTATACCTTAAAACAAAAAGAGTTACTATGACACATTCTAAACAAATGATGAAAAAGCAACACCTGCCAATTAATTATATCTAAGTTGCAGACTAGACAACAGTTAGTTCTTTTCATATTATGGGCGTACAGCCATCTTACCAAATACATGCCCCTTATCTTACTGACCAAGGACAGGCAGCATCTTTATATACATTTGAGCACAAAGCCTACGTCAAGCCACTAAACTGCATAGTTTGCAAAAAACATACAAAAACACAAAAATGATATGAATTATCTCACTTCCCGGGCATCTCTCTTATCTCTTCATTCTTCAGTTGTAACTCTCAGTTTACGGTTCTAGACGAGGGGGTTGATGAGGAAGAGGTGCATTTTTGAAAACTACTATCTTTAATAAAAAAAATCTTGTTTGCTTCGGTTTATACTACACTTTACTATTTGTCCCATAATACTCTATGTATTTACCAAACTGTAAATCTGTAGATCTAAGATTACATTACAGATACAGTAGATCTCAGATTAGATTACAACCTAATTATTGGCACCAACATGAACACTGTTGTAAAATCTGCTCTTGATATGCAGTGCAGACAGCTGGGAACTGAGTTCACAAAATCTACACGCTACATCCTCTGCTTTCATCTGATCTACAGTAGTTGAGCTTGACAGTTGATAAATACTTACCACCTCTGCCAGAAATGTTATGTTTAACCCTACATAGGTCTTTCTCTAGGACTGATGTTTGATCATATTCATATCTCTGTTCTCTCAACTGAAGGATGTTAGTAATCATCTAACATCATAATGCAGTAACCACACTTTTTTGCCAACATCCCAACAGAACAGAAAATGCTACTTCACCAATACTCAGTTGCAGAATTAAGCATTTCATCGTCCACTTCAATCCAAAATGTATTGATTCCTTACTTTAATAGTGCATTTTACAGGGTGTGATAAAGGTTTTATTAGAAAGACTAACACTTTGTCCAACTCCAATCATAATAAATCCATATTGAGCAAAATTAAAGACTTAGAAACTATTTAAGCTTTCCTTGAGCACTCTAGAAAAGGCACTTTCTTTCTGAGGAAGTATGGAACGCCAGCTGGAAATTACAGAAAGACCACGATGGCTTAATCAGCCAGGATGCGGTTTCTTGTTCAAAGAGCTAAATAGCAGTATTAGATTTTATCATTCAAAATCTTGAAGCTTTAAGGCAATGCAATAATTGAAATCTCAAACACAAATTTCACTGTGAATTCTGTTCTTTTTAACCAGTTAGTTTAAAGTCTTAAGCTGGTCTCTCAGAAAGTTACTTTAGAACATTATTTAGTAAATACAGTAACTGCAATGTCAGGACTTGTTGGCTTCTGCCACACAAATCCTGTATCCCAGCACATTCGTCTCTTCCAGAACTGATCACTGCAGTGCTCTGCTCGCTGGGCCTCCTGCTCCCCATCTCGCAACCTTCATCCGTCTGGCTCTGGTCTGCTCAAACTTGTTGAAACTGGGGGTGACAGGCCTTCTCCTGCTGCGCCCCAGAGCTCAGGAGCTCTATACCCAAGGGTACCAGAGTCACATTCTCTGCATTCTGCATTTCAATTAAAAATCCTTGATTTAAGTTTTGCCAATTTTGTCACGTCTTCTCCTTGTAAACTTTTTTCTTACTGTAAAGTTCTTTGGGAAGTTAATTTTAAAGGTGCCATGTAATTAAGGTTTTTTTTATTATTATTAAACCCTTGTGTGAGAAAAGGCAAAAATGATCCTTTTAAATTACTTTTAAGTTGGTATTTTTTAATTTCATAACTTATATGCGTGATAAAACATTTTTAATCTTCACTTATAAAAATAAACACATTTAAACCAACGGCACACCGTCTTTTGTTCCGTCGACGTTTGACCTCACGCGTGGGGTTAACAGACCTCCTCAAAATGGCCGCAGACTCGCCTCTCCGCGATTTCTTCCGTTGGCGGTTAAAGAAGGTGACGCGCTTCCGGTCTCGCACGTCTTTCCACACACGGCAGAGAAGATGGCGGACGTCCTGGACTTACATGAAGCTGGCGGCGAGGATTTTCCTATGGATGAGGATGGTGATGGTAAAATTTAATATACCTTTCCGCGGACCACAGAGTAGTTTAAAATAAGAGCAGTCGGTTCGTCTTTTTTTCTTAGGTATAGCCCGCTGTAAACGTTATTTTTCGGCAAAAGATAGTTCAGCAGTGTACAAATGAGCCACACTGTTTGTCTGGATCTGGTTTGATTTGAATGTAATTTTGTAGTTATTCGCTTATGGGTGACCGGGGGTGCAACTATATTTATTAACGGCCCTTATAATCATTTTTGTTCGCGGTTTTGCTGTATCTCTGCCCTCCGTTATTTCCTACACACGCAGTGTAATTTTCGCTGTCGGCTTGTAGGGCGGTCTATAAGCTCTGCTTGGGTTCTGTGGAGGTGCTGAGGTTCAGCCATTGCGGCTGTTAAAATATTTACCTTTGCTCATCGTCCAGAGCGGAATACGCTTGCCAGGCCGCAGGGAGGCGGGCGTGGGAGCCGCAGGGGAGGCCCGGGTTTGACTCGGGCCTGGGCGCCATCAGGGTGCAGGGTCTTGTTTAACAGGGTCTGCCATCTGGGGTCCGACTCGGACCCCGTCTTTCCCACACGGTTCACCCACAGTCCTCTGATCCGACTGGAGTCCATTAACGATGCAGAATTGCTGATGCCGCCGGGGGAGAGGGGGGTGGGGATTGCTGTAACCACGATCAATACAGCCGATCGGCGTCGTGAAGAAGGGTTAACGATGAGGGGATCACTTGTTCTGTGTTGTTCCAGAGAATAACTGTCCGAGAATGTAACGTTGGCTATTTGGTATAGAATTAAATTATATAGAATAAAATCATCTGCTTTTTAGTTGAACCAGTTGTGTGAATGGTATGCTATGATAGCACTGTTGCTGTTGTCTTTGTCCATGTCAGTTTACAATCAGAGAAGCTTAAAAAGATACAGTCTTAGCTGGGCAAAGTGTGTCATTCCCAATTAGATCAAATAAATCATAGCATATCAGAATCGACAATGACCATATCAAATTCAACAGTAGCACAATGGGAACACACTTTGTGCTAGCCTCAAAAAGTAACATTTTGTCAATGAATGGAGAGCAAAAAGACATCTTCTGTTTTGACCTCTTTATAGATGTCTTCAACGCGGGAAAAACTAATGCCCACTGTACTGTCTTCTTTTTCAGAAAGCATCCATAAGTTAAAGGAAAAGGCAAAGAAGCGAAAAGGCAGAGGGTTCGGATCAGGTGAGTCCGTGTTGTGGAAGCATGTTGGCAGCTGTAAAGATGGATTTCTAGGCTGAGCTGGAAATGAGAGCTTCTGGCTGTTTTGTCATCGGTGATTAAATTAGTAACCTGGAGAAGTTACTTTTAAAGGTGCTGTATAACAAAGTAGGGCTGGGCGATATGGCCAAAAACATTATCTCAATAAAAATTTTCATATCAGTCGATATAGATAATTATCACGATGAATCTCAAATAATTGTTTCTTTCAAGTTTAAAGGCAGATTTTTTCTCCTGAGTGAAAGTTGAAGGAACAGTTAATTGGAAAATTAAACGACTCTTTATTTTATGAACACAACAAACACTTGCCAAACAGCAGAAACATTAAACAGATGAATAGAGAGTATTCAAGTCTTTTTTATGTAAAAAGATACATGAGTAAAATGTACAAAATAAATATCTTAATAGAAAAATTAAATACTGCAGTGTGATAAAACACACATAGAAGATGGTTCAGACAGACTGCAAAGTTTAAAGTGCTCTGTTTTATGTCTGATCGTAAAAAGCCAAAAAATCTCCAAATTACTGAAGTTGAATGACCTTTTCTATCGACGATGTCATCGTCCTTCGAGCTGGTCATTAGCAGCACTACATTTGCTTCAGTGTCGCTCATTTCTCCACTCTAACTACAATCCTGTCAGCCACCACCGTGTGGGTAAACAACAGCACGTTAGCAGCCCGGTCTGCAACACGCATGCGCACTCACGCAGTGTTTTGTACGCATGCGCAAAGCATAAACATATATATCGAACATTTATCAAACTTTTGTTAAAATTATATCGAGGAAAATTATATCGCGATAATTATCGTTATCGAGTTATCGCCCAGCCCTATAACAAAGTTCATTATTATCGGGGGAAAATGTTGATGTGGAAAATAAATATGTTCTTGAACTTTAAGTTCACTATTAGCCAGTGAAATACAGCCTGGAATTTTGTTTTTCATGATTTTCCAATGGAATACAATCTTGAGGTGTCCACCTTGACCATTGCTACTAGATCTCTAGGTCTTAACAGGCTTATTGAGGAGCTAAAGAGAACAAGAAAACCCGGAGGGCCTTGGACATGTAGGACCGGACTGGAGCCGCCTTCTTGTTTGATCACACGGCTCCAGCACATTGAAGCATGTTTAGCAACAATCCCAGCTCCTAATGAAGGTGTACAGGAATGATTGTATTTGGAGCACCCGTTTTGCAGGAAAAGCTGGTGGTTGTGGCAGTCGATCTGACAAGCAATTCAGCTCTCTTGTAGATATTCAGATTCATATATTTTTGTACAATTGTAGATCTAAATTAAGACCTCTAAAAAAGAGACCTTTACAAATTTGATGTGCCAATTGCTTCTTCATATAAAAGTGTATTGCCAAGATGGATGGTGATTATGTTGCCATACTGCATTAAAAACATGGAAAATAAAGATTACAACTGCTAAATGCCTGTTTTCAGCAAGTCGGGTGCATTACTAACATAAGTTTAATTGTTTTACTAGTTTTCTATCAAAATGACTGCTCATTAGGCTTTTTTAATTACTGAAGTACAGTCTTTATCTATTCTTCAAGCATATGGAGTGTAGGAGCGATAAACTGAGTCCTGTATCATGCTTTTCCATCTTGCTAGGAATTTTTTCTCACTGCATTAATTGTAGTTAATTAATTAATTGTACACTAGCCTAATGTAATGATTTGATGTCCCGACTTTGATTGGGGTTCAGTTTGAGAGCTGTGTTACTGTTGGTGTACTTTTCCACAGAGGAGGGGGCGCGGTCCCGGGTGCGAGAGGACTATGATACAGTCGAGCAGGATGGTGATGAACCAGGACCTCAGAGATGTAAGTACAGAGGGTGTCCCCAGTACTGTGCAAGATCAGAAGCATTAAAGACGAGAGGATGTCAGGCTCATCTTCTAGTTTGGTATCTAGTAAATAGGTGGTTCATCTGAAGCCCATATCCAAGCGTTTCTTGAAGGGTCTCATGGAATTGGCTTTAACAGCACTGCTGAGGGGTTTGTTCAGACCTCTATCGCCCTTTGAATGAAGAGGTCGTTTCAAAGTATAACAGCTTTGAACTGATTAAATGTTAACTACACGCTTCTTCCTGTACTGAAAACGTGTAACAGTGTTCCTCTGTTTACAGCTGTCGAAGGCTGGATCCTGTTTGTGACAGGAGTCCACGAAGAAGCCACAGAAGAGGACATCCATGACAAATTTGCAGAGTTTGGAGAAATCAAGAACTTGCACTTGAATTTGGACCGAAGGACGGGCTACCTTAAGGTAACCAACCTCACTTTTTTTTCTATAAGCCTAGCTCGAGGGGACATTTTTCCTTTTTCCAGGTTTTTGATTCAACCACCAACTGTCTAGTTGCATAACATGCCTTAATGTGAAATGTCCCCTTCATTTTACCATGTTTCTTGAGTTTGAGGCAGGTACTGAAGAAATTTAAAGTGAGGTCCTGTTTGAGGTTTAGTGTCCCTACTTTTAGATGTGATGTCTTTTGTCATTTGGGGCATTTTAATTCTTCATAACGTTAAACAACATCAGTACTGAAAAACATGATCTGTTCCTAAACTGTGCAGTATATAACAGGGCAGATTTGGGTCATCGTCCTTTGTGAGCTTTAAACAGCCAGTCTTGATTTCAGTGATAAAATAAATACTGAATGCTTTTTTTGAGCAAACGGTCACTAGTCTCATAAGTTAGATGGCACTCAAACATACTTGGAATAAGTTTAGAATATTGTTTATTTATTTTGTGCGTGGTATAATTCAGCTTATTCCACAGGACATATACCTTGCTGGAGGTTTTGTAAGTGTTTAAGCTCCTTATGTGGAGCTCAGTATTCATTTCTTCATTGATTTGAAAGTATGATTAACCATGAGCTGTATTAATATCCAAACCAAATGGGAAGAATTGCTTTATTCTGTCTTAATCATGAAACTATTTTTCTGACGTTCAAAAATATTTGATGCATAATTTCTTCATTTTAAGTGCTCACGTTTTTGCACTGTAGTACTTTGATCCAGTGTTAATGTGAATTTTTAAACGTTTGTGGTAATTTTTCACTAATAGTCTCTTTAGAAAAGTAAAATAGTTTAGCATTTTTACAGGCTGGGGATGTGGTATCTCATCTCCCGTGTCGTGTGAAACGAAGGTCATCCTTATCAGAAGTATTTTGTTTATTGGGTGGCCTTCACCAATTTCTACCCTGCTAAAGGTTTCTTACAGCACAAGCAAACATGTTCGGTATTGTTTACCAAGTGGTATTTGAAGAAGAAACTGGGGCATACGGCGGCGATGGGGTGTAATCAAATGGGATTTCCATTCTCTTGCAGGGCTACGCCTTGGTGGAGTATGAAACCTACAAAGAGGCTCAGGCAGCCATGGAAGGGCTGAACAGTCAGGACCTGATGGGCCAGCCCATCAGCGTGGACTGGGCCTTCGTCCGGGGCCCACCGAAGAGCAAGAGGAGGTCAGTGTCTCCGCGGGCTGGCTCCCACCCGTGTGGGCCGCAGGGCATCGCATCAGAACTCGTAGTGGTGATGTGGCGAATAGACCAGAGCAGGAAAGCTTTAACCAGGGAATACCTCACTTGGGGATCCACACGAGGGTTACTGCTCGTCCTAATTGATATCAATGACTTATTATAGTACTGCGAGTAAACTAGGTAGGTTTGTAGTGTCACATCGACAGGATACTCCTCCTCCTACCACAAAGGACATTCAACATTATTTTGATGGATTTCAAAATGGGTAGTTATCTGTCAGAGATTTAATGTAGTCAAGTGTTAGATGCAGACAAAACCGTGAGATACAAATAGAGAATAGGAAAGGTTGAGCTTGAAGAAGCAACTTGTGGTTGTGGGAGAAAAAGGTAGTAGAATTGGGGAATTCAGTGTTAAGACTTTGACTAAATTGGAAAAAAAAAATCAATATTGTTTTAATACAGATGTTTTAAGACTTATTTATTACTAAGACCTTATTACTAAATAAGTTTTAAAATGTAATAAAAACTTTTTTCATTATGCTGACAAATCTCTTCTTATTATAGAAATGATCTGGTGTGGGATTGGTATTAGTATTGATTTTTAAACAGTATGCAGCAAAATATAGCAGTGTTGTAACTTTCTTTTTATATAGTTTAGGCAGTGTTCTTATGTCACTTCATTAAATTTTCAACAAAGATTGCAGTTAATGTGATTCTTTCAGAAAGCATTTTATTTTTAAGTGTGCTTATCACTCTCCTTACTGTATCTCTGCTACTTCATTACTCTGGTACAGTTTGCACTGACAACGAGAGGAGGAACAACCAGATCTGCCTTTTAATCTTATAGCTTTTTAGTACAAGTAGGTTATCATGCAGCTTTTGGAACAAAATCTGAGGAAGGATTAATTTTCAGAGTTTTATTTAACTATATAATGTTTAGAAGTGGCTCTAATTTAAGGCGTTGACTACATAGCACAGTAAGTGGTATGTTACTCATAGAGAAAAGCAGGACCTGCTGGTGAAATGCTTATTACAGAATATAGTTTTGGTTTCTGTTTTTGTTTTTTTAAGTTCACTAAGGAAACTAAAGAAGAATGATGTGGCACGGTGCAGATTTTGCATAAACAGTAGCTTCATTGCCTTGTGTTGGTTAGGTGTTGGTGATTATTACAAATTGTGCTTTTGCCTTTGAGCTATTGTTATGAGCTATTGTTACAAAATCCCAGTAGCACTTTTTGTCCTGTCGATGCCGACTGGAAGCATGACAGTAGTTAATAGGTTTATATTGGTTCTTATAATTCTAAATAATAAATTTGTAGTTCTTAAGTAGTCCTTTTAAATATTCAGCACAGAAAGCAGGTTTTAAATCCAAGCTGTGCCAAGTTAGAGACCTGTATTCCCCTACGTTAACTAGCACAGCTGACTTAATACTGAATCTTCATTGTTTCAACAAGACCTGCTTCACATGATGAACTCTGAACCTGTTCCAGATCTCATACCCTTGTCCTCGGGGGCCGCATGGCCTCAGAGTCACATTGAACCTCGACTCTGTGACATCGCTGACCTAATTTTCCCCAGTGGTTCTTGGTCTAATGCACATCAGAGTTGCACAACATCAAAGGGGAACTGCAGTCCCAATTTCGCCGACTGGTTATTAAATCTCGGTAACACGATGAATTCATTAGAAAAAGCTTGCAAATTTCAAATTAAGCACAGAATCGTGATTTTTGTGAAAGTACCAGTAACCCCCTGGTCTCCGAGAGCGAGAGTTCCCATGAATTGACGTGATGCGGCCCTTCCTGCTCACTAGTCACTGTCAGGACTAATGCAATGTGAGGTACGAGCGAATAAGTACAGGTTCTGCAGCAGACAGTTTCCTGCAGAAATGTTCCAACGTGATCTGCAGGCAGAGTTAACGAGAGTATTTGTCGGCAAAAACCATCTCGGAAGTTGAGAGCAATATTTCCGCTGGATTAAAATATGTATTGCCAAGCCTGCTTGATTACAAGGTAATAGGGCTGCTTCATCTAATCCGATGTTTTGTTGCCTCATTCTGAATTGCAGAATATTGCAC